ACCAGACCAGACCAGACCAGACTAGAGCAGAGCAAACCAGACCAGACCAGACCAGACTAGAGCAGAGAAAACCAGACCAGACCAGACTAGACTAGAGCAGAGCAAACCAGACCAGACCAATAAGACTAGAACAGAGCAAACCAGACCAGACCAGAGCAAACCAGACCAGACCAGACTACAGTAGAGCTAACCAGACCACACAAGACCAGACTAGAGTAGAGCAGACCAGACCAGACCAGACCAGACCAGACTAGACTAGAGCAGAGCAAACCAGACCAAACCACACCAGAGCCGACCTGCAACACCTGCCTGGGTGTAAGAAAGGCACAGAAAAAATACAGAAAAAAATGTGCCAAAAGGGAGACAGTAATTATCTAAAGGTGATTTGATGACAAGTGGTTATTTTCCCTAAACGTTCAGCTATAAACACAATTAATTCCTTTAATTCCTATATTTAAAACTTTCAGGTTTAGGAAGAAATGAATAAGGCACACAGCCGGGGCTGCAAGGTCGGCCCCACCAGCACTCGCTGCAGCCCAGACGGGCTACCGCAGACTCGGGGCCTTGGGCTCCTCCTGCACGTCACTGTACTGAGTGAACACGACCACACGCAGATGCACGGGTCTCATACGGGGCCTGGCACACAGCAGGTTCCCAACAAACACTGGCTGCTGTTACTGAAAACAAGAAATGCTAATTAAAAAAGAAAACACTGCAAAGAGTGTGGACACGGCCCGGCCAAGGCCGGTTGCAGACGTGGGCGTGACGGCTCTGTGAGCACCCGGCCCGGGGCACCTGTGTCGGGGACTGGGGCCCAGCCCCCGCAGCGTTCCAGCTGACTAGCTCCATTTTTAGCACCACTCTCTCCATTTTTAAAAATAGGTTCTGCAGGAGACATTTGAGAAATGGGATTTTTTTAAAAGCATTAATCAAAGCGCCTGACCTAGTGCGACCCTCCTGGTGCTGCAGATGAGGCCACTGTCCCCAGAGCTGTGGCCCATTGGAGGGCCCAGACCCAACCCCCGGCCTGCAGGTACAGCGCTCAGCCTTGTCGCCCCCCGGAGCTGTGTGCAGGGCCTCAGGCGTCCTCTCTCCATGCTGCCCCATGCCTGCCTCCCCGTTACCCAGCCACAGTGGCCACGACTGCAGACGGTGACGGGCAGGGACAGAGGCCCAGCCTGACCCGCAGAGGTAAATGGGGAGGTTGCCAAAGACAGAAGGGTTAGGGTACCAGACCACAGCTGTTGGTGTTGACGTGTCCTTGCAGCCAGAAGATGTGAAGCTCTCCACTCATCAATGAGGAAAAGCAGCAGTGGGCACGTCAGGCTCTCCACAGCCAGGAAGTCCAAACGGCCTCAGAGGGGTGACATGGCACTGACCCCACGACCCACCAGGGAAATGCAATGTAAGCCACAACTCAATCCCACTGTCCCCTCGGCCCAGGAGAGACGAAAGGGACCGCCAATCCTGAGCACTGGGCCAGACGCAGAGCGTGCCAGGAAGCCGGAAGCTTCTAACAAGGCTGGCAGAGCCTGCCTGTGCCCCACGCAAGGGCAACAGAGGAAACGTGCAGACGGCTGCCAGGAGACACACAGCGCTGCTCCAAGGGCCCAAATGGGAGCTTGTTCCCCAGAATCCTCTGCAGGTGAGGATGAGGGAGCCCTGGACATCTCAACAGAGAGGCACCTCGAAGCATCACACTGCCTGGATGCAGTCAGACACGCCGCATGCTTCCATTCACTCACAGCTCAAAACCAGGGAGTTGATTTCGGCGTCAGAGATCAAGGCATCGGGTGCCCATGGTGGGGCTCTGCTGAGCACATGAGCTGCACACACAGCACAGCGGCACTTTTCTGCGTGTTTTACTTCAATACAAGCTTTTAACACCCGGAAGGAAATGCCACTTCTACAACGTTCCTAGTGACCCCTCTGGGCGGAAGAGTAACGCCATTACTCCTTCCCCAGCTCCTTTCCCGCTTTACAGCGAGCAGCCGTACCGGACAGTCAGGAAACAGCGCCTCCAGAGGGAACTGAGGAGCACCCGCACCCGCCTCGTCGGGGGCCTTGCTGTTGACGTTTACGCGACCAATTTCCTCTCCTTGACAGTCAGCTGCGCAGGCTCTTCCGATACTATAAACGATGCTGATGAACGTCACTGATATCGACCCCCAGAGAAGTGGGCTGAGGTTCTCTACATGGTGCCAAACCAGCCTCACGAAAGGTCTGTCGACAGGTCCTCAAGCAAACCCTTGTACATGTGTGTTCACAGCAGCACTGCTCACAATCACCACACGGTGGGGCAACCCAAGTGTCCACCGATAGGTGAACGGATGAACCGAATGTGGTCTGTCCACAGAGTGGAACAGCACTCAGGCATAGAAAGGAATGAGGAAGCCCTGACACACGCTACAACATGGATGAACCTCGAAAACATCATGCTGAGAGAGAGAAGCCAGACACAAAAGGCCACATAGTGGATGATTCCATTCATGCAAAATGGCCGGAACAGGCAAATCCAGAGACAGAAAGCGGATCGGTGGGTGCCAGGGGCTGGGGGTGGGGGAAGGGGAGTGACTGCTCACGGGGACAGGGTCTCCTTTTGTGGTGATGGAATGTTCTGGAATTAGACGTGATGGTTGTACAATATTGTGAAAGTACTGAATGCCAATGAACTGTACACTTTAAACGAGAAGTTTTATGTGATGTGCATTCTACCTTAACTAAAAAGCAAAAGGCGTCATACAGGACAAGGACAAAGCATGGGAGTGATGGAAGGGCTGGTTTTCAAAGGTGGCAACGGGCAGGGACCCTCAGGGAGGTGCTGCTGCCCGTTTCAGGCCTCCTGCCACCCCGCTCACCCACCGGGCCTGCGCCTGCCCACCTGCCGCGCGATGCTCTGCACCAGCTTGTCCATGGTGAAGCCGACATAGGCGTGGATGGTGAACATCTCGCGCAGGGTGTCCTCGTACTGTGTGGGGTCGATGCTGCCCTCCAGCAGGCTCCGCACCATGTCTAGGAAGGCCGGGTAGTACTCCTCCAGCTCCACCTCACCTGAGGGAGGGCGGGGACGCAGTCACCAAGGGCCCAACAGGCCCCCACGGGGATGAATCCGCAATCTCCACAGAACACAAGGAGGCCACGTTCACCACCTCCTGTCACGGAGACTTCCTAATGTCGGCCCGCAGCTCCAGGACGGCAGCTCAGCTGGGCAGTGGTTCCACGCGGCTAGGCATGGGGGGAAAGCTGCCGAGAGCTTCACGCCAGGGAGTGCAAGTGAGAAGCAGCTGCGGCTGTGGTCTGGCTGGCGTAGCCTGCGATACCAGTTTCCTGGTCCTGTCAGGACACTCCAGCCAGAAGTGGTGCCACCCTTAAGAGGCTGAGGAAGGCTAGTCTGTGTTATTTTCACAACTTTCCATTTGAAATTTCTCGTCTGAGATAACATAATTATTTCAAAATGAAAAGTCAGAAAAAACACAATGGATACATCCGATCATAAGCTATGTACTGGGGTCCATGGGGCTGGCTGCCGTTTCCTCGTCCCGTCTCACAGGGGCCCCGGGGGGTCTCAGGGGCTTACTTGGTTGTTTCAGCCGCAGCTCCATGGCAGGGTCGTTGCCCTTCTCCCGGCGGCCCTCGCAGAGCAGTTTCTCCCTCTCCTTCTCGGTCCGATACTCCAGGAGCTGCTTCTGCGCCTGGCGGTATATCTTCAGGAGCCTGGAGCACAGGGTCTGGTGGAGGCGCAGGAAAAAGTACCAGTTGTTGTTGGCAAAGAAGAGGCTGTAGACGTCGTCCAGGGGCTTGTGCTGCAGCGGCAGCTGCTCCAAGGTCGGGGCTGTGCCTGCGGGCCCCTTCTCCTCCACGGGGCTGCTCTGTGGCCCAGGGGCCGGCTTCTTTCGGTCGCCAGGCTCCGCGCCCTGCCCCTGGGGGCTCCCCCGGCCCTCATCAGCGGAGTCCTCAGAGGCCCCCAGCTCCAGCTGCTGGGAGAAGAAGAGGCTGGGCACGAACTGGTGCACCAGCTGGTGGATCGTGCCCTGGTCCTCCTTCTGGATGGCTGGCTGCCGCTTCACGTAGTAGCTAATGAGGGCGGCTGCGTCCTCCAGGATCTGCCTGTCCTCATACACGAAGATGAGGTGCGGCTCGCTGGAGGGGGCGCTGCGGCCCTCCGAATGCTGCTCCTGGTGCTGGGAGACAGGGCGGCCATTAGGGGAAGCAACCGGCTGGAAGAACTCCAAGACGGGGGCCCAGGTCCACAGGGCTCTCACGCTTCCCACCATGGGCTCCTGCGAGTAACTCACTCCCCGCACGCATGTTTCCAAGCCCAAATCCTCGAAGCCCGAGAGCCCAGCCCTGCCTCAGTTCTGTGGTTCAGGCCCCAGGAACCTGAACATGCCAAAGCTGCCAAGAGGGCGCAGTGCTGCAGCTGGAGGCACAGCCCGAGGGCCCGGAGCCCTGGTCTCCTGCAACCGGCCCTGGTGAGCGGCCACCTCTCGTGTCTAAGTTTCCTCATTGCTAAAATTGGGACAGTAACAGTATCGCGTAGTAAGGCCTGTGAGCAAGGGTAAGATGGGATGCTCCTTCTGAGGGTTCTAACGGCGTCTAGCACACGGTCAGCAGTAAAGGAAGGAAAGCTGCTGGGTCACCTAAAGGCAGGTCCCTCAAGGCCATGGTGGGGGCAGGGGAAGCCCTCCGCTGACAACAGCAGAGCTGCTGCAATCCCTCTCCCGTGCTGGCCCTAGGCTGCATGCCACAGCTCACCCCTAAACAGCCCTGCAAGGGTGATGCTGGGAAAACAGAGGCACAGAGACCCAGCAGCCTGCCCAAGGCTGGGAGAGCCAGAGCCAGGACACAGCCAGCCTGCTCAGCCCTGGCCTCACCTCGTCGTAGACGCTCTCGATCTCGTTGAGCAAACTCTTGGAGCGAAGGGCCTTGGTATCGTTCTGCTTGAAGTTCACGGCCTGATGGTCCAGGGACTTGAGGTATGCCTTCTCGTACTGCTCCCGCCAGATCTTGTTGAAGCCCTGCTGGGCCTCCCGCCACTCCTCCTCCTTGGCTTTCAGCCTGGGGGGGCCAAAGGGGCTCAGCACAGGGCTCAACATGGGGGCAGCCCGGGGCGCCAGCCCAAGCCCTCCCTGCCCGGGGCCGGGCTGTCTGCCCAGGCCAGACCCAGGTGAGCGCGTTCCAAACTCGGCACAGCCAGCTCCTGGGTGTGTAGCGGGTTCTGTGGTGAATAAAGGAGGGAGGGAAAGAGCGACGGCCCCGTAGAACCAACATGGCCGGTTTTATGGTTTCTCAAACATCGCTGTCCCGGAACCTCCTCCCTGTCCTGGCCCATAGCACCGACCACACTCTGTGTAGCTGTTGGCTCGACTGTAGGGCTCCCTGGCTCGACTGTGAGTCCCACGAGGGAAAGGACTGTGTGGGCCTCGCTCAGCTCTGCAACCCCAGGGCCGAGCACACTACCTGGTCAAGGCCAGCCACTTAATCAATGCCTGTTCACTAGTATGCAAACATTCCCAAAATGTATTACTAGATAAGAGGCAAGCCATGGTACAGGATGATTTCATTTGTGCTTTAAAATAGTTACTTCTCATGTTCAGATATGATTATGTGCACGGCAGAAGGTTCTAGAAAGATGGACAACCGTGAACAGTTGTGCTTTCCTCTCAGGAGTGGAACAGGAAGATGAAAGAAGACTAGAAAACATAGTAATCCAGCCTGAGGCCCCAGGACACTCCTCACAATTACCCCTGTGACAAACAGCACTAATGCACTTGAGGAGGCGGGGGCTCCCTTCGGCAGGGCATGGCAGCCAGAAGCCAGGGGATACCTTTTCAGGACGACAGGGACGGCGGTGACGGGGTTTTTCTTGAGGCTCTCGATGATCTCTGGAGCCTTGTCGCCGTAAATACGGTGGATGGCCCGGCGCTGGATCACCTCTGACGTGCCCCCCAGACAGTCATCCAGCCGGAACTTCTCCTGGTCTTCCGGCGCCATCCGAGAAAGCTTCTTCTGCACGCTTTCCAACACCCGGATCGTGGCCAGGTTGGTCTCCAGGACGACGTCTAACTATGGAAAGGAAGGCAGGAAGGCGTCAGCTGTTGGGGTTCAGCTGGGCCCCCAGAGGGGCCTGGGAGGGCAGAAGAGTCACGCAGACAGAGCTAAGAAATCCCACACCTCTGGGGAGGGGAAGATGGACATCAGAAAGCAGTGGTCCTGCACAATTTCACTCATGTGGAAGATAAACTAACACATGGACAAAGAAAACAGATTAGCGGTTACCAGGGGGAAGGCAGATGGGGGGGTGGGCATAAGGGGGGTGGGCATATATATGGTGACTAACAAAAGATAACGTACAGCTGAAATTTCACAATGTTATAAACTATCATGACCTCACTAAAGAAAAAAAAAAAGAAAGTGGCGGTTCTAATGAGGGTTCAGGGGCCCGGAGAGAGCATAGCTGATTAGAGGGGTGGGGTCCAGACCACAGCAGTGGTGACAGCCAGGCGAGGCACAAACGCAGGATTCGGCGCTTACAGACCGAGACCTGTGGGCCGCTCACCACTGGGTGACCCATCTGAGGAGGGAAAAGGTCCCTGGGCTGACCCGCTCACAGGCATCAAAAGCACATTTCAGCTGGCAATAAGAAGGAAGGGACTCGCGGTACACACAGCCCCCAGAATGACTCTCCAGGGCATGTGCCAAGGGGGGAGCCAACCCCCAAAGGGTACATACCGTGTGATTCCATTTCTACAACCTTCCTGAAATGACAGTGACAGAAATGGAGGACAGGACAGTGGCGGCCAGGGGTCAGGCACAGGAGGGCGGGGAGGGAGGCACTCGGCTGTAAAGCACGGCATGAGGGCTCCTAGTGGAGGAAGGCTGTGTAGGATCTTGGCTGTGATGGTGGATACCCGGACCTCCACAGGTGAGCGACCCGCCAGAGCTAAACACACCAGTGGACACATGCACGCCACCAAACACACACGCACATACATGTGCACACACACGAATACAAGTCCACCTGGAGAGATGGGGATGGGATCGTGGGTCGCGTCAAGGTCAATATCCTGGCTGTGACACTGCACCCGAGATTTACACATTGTTACCACTGGGGGAAGGGAACCCGGGGTCACGCTGTTATTTCTCACGCTGCACGTGAATGTAAAATGATTTCAGTAAAAATTGCACTGAAAAAAATTTAACTAAATTTTAATTAATCAAATTTAAATATATATATTTTATTTTATAATTTTATTTATTTATTTTTCCCCCAAAGCCCCAGTAGATAGTTGTATGTCATAGTTGCACAACCTTCTAGTTGCTGTATGTGGGACGTGGCCGCAGCATGGCCGGAGAAGCAGTGGGTCGGTGCGCGCCTGGGATCCGAACCCGGGCCGCCATCACCGGAGCACGCGCACTTAACCACGAAGCCATGGGGCCGGCCCATAAATATATATATTTTAAAAACAAAAGGGAAAAGCATCATCGCTAGCTAGCCCAGAGGCCAGCAAGGCAGAAAAGGGAGGCTTTCAGGACCTGCCCCCTGCTGGAAAGCGCTGGAATCCCTGATACTCAAAAGGGGAGGGGAAGAGGGTTAAGGAGGATCAGGGTACATCCCAGGGGAGGGATGGAGGTGAACAGGGGAAAGTGAGAGGGTGGCGCTGTGGAGAAGGGGGGACAGGCACGCACTCCAGGACTCCCTGATCTTGGCTAGGACCAAGGGCCAGCTAGGAGGGCCCCGCACCGCCGGCACACACCTCAAAACGCTCGTCCTCACAGCGGTGCAGCTGCTCCTCGTAGGGCGTCTTCTTGGAGCTGACAAAGGTGGAGTCCTCTGACCAGGAGGGGAAGGAGACCCAGGTGTCATTCAGCACCTGTGCCAAGAAGAAACGCTGTCAACAGTGCGGCAGGCTCCAGCAGCCACAATTGTTTACTGTGTCGTCCAGTGTAGAAGATACGAGGATAAGCAATAGCATTCTGATTTTATAGGAAATTACCTTAACATACCAACAGTAAAATTAACTTTAAGGTGATCTGAAGAGCAAGCATGACTTTCAAGTGATCAAATCACACTACTTCAGGGGTTGGCAAACTTTCTCTGTAAGAGTCAGATAATATTTTAGGTTTTGTGGGTTATCTGGTCTATCAGGACTACTCAGCTCTGCCTTTGTCCTGGGAAAGCAGCCCCAGGCAATTTGTAAATGAATGGGCGTGGCTGTGTGCCAATAAAACTTTATTTACAAACACAGGTGGTGGGCAAGGTCTGGCCCACAGGCTGCAGTTTGCTGACCCCTGGACTATATCCTGGAATCTAGGAGGCATTCTTGAATTCTGGAAATGCAGTAATAGTCTGTCCCCCAATCCTGAAAAAGTGTTCACTGGTCAAGCTACACAGAAACACACCGAGGGCCAGTGAAGCTGGGACACAGCACAACTATGGCAGAAATCAATCTAAGTCTAAGGAAGGAATATGCCAAACCCTGTGCCGGCGCCGTGTGCTTTGCAGCTTGCCAAAACTACCACTCCGGCTGCGCTGTCATCTCTGCTTAGGCATTCTGTTTCGCCACCTCCCAGCACCATCCATTATTCAGCATTTGAGGGGGTCGACACTCCAGTCTTTCAGCTGAAGCACGGGGGGGACGGTGTTTTGCAGAGAGGGGAGCATGCACCACATAAGCTGATGTGAGCCCCTGGGGAGCGCTACCTCCTTGCAGATAGCCGTCCTTCCACTGCACTTAGGCTGCTGGTAGGTTTTGGGGAGCGCCCGGTAGCTGGATCCGATGCGCTTGCAAGATGCGTAGTCAATTTCCCGGCTTATTCCATCCCCGGATCTGTCGCTCATGGGCGGGGCGAATGACAGCTCTTTCACCCCCAGGAAGGACTTGAACTGTGCAAAGAGTTCTGGAAATTTCCTTCAGAAATAAAGATAAACAGTAAGTTGGCATCCCTGGGGGTTTCTGGGAATGATCTAGAGATTTTAAAATGGCTTCATGGAGATGCCTGTGGTTCAAGACGGTCAGAATTCAACGTGAGGGAGGAGGGGCAAAAGGCAGACCCAAGTGTCAGATATGCATAATGTCTTCACATACTCGAGTGACAATGCCCCCCACCACTTTGTCACCAACCAGGCCCTGTCACTCACAGGATGTGTTTTCCAAACACTCTGGAAAACACGACCTAGACTGGCAGAAGGTGGGGTCAGCAATGTTCCTTGACTGGAAGAGGCTGGCCATTAGGCCAGGGCTCAGTAAACTATGACCAACCTGCCCACGTCTGTCTTTGTACATAAAGTTTTATTGGCACACAGTCATGTCCATTTGCTTAATATTGCCTGTGGCTGCTTGCAAAGGACAATGCCAAAGTCTCAACCCTCAGCCCTTGACAGATAAAGTCTGCTGACCCGCTGTATCCCACCTATCAGGACTGCGTGCTGACTTGGCTCACCAGGAAAACCACAAACAGGACCACAGGGAAGGAAGACGTCAACGAAATAAGTGCCAAATGAGGATGCCCTATGTTACAGCTTGGATAAACACAAATGGCACACTCTGAAGGGGACGGTTACCCTGACACGCCGCACTCCATCCCCGACTGCGGCTGTGCCGTCACCAAGGGGCTGCCCTCGGGTCTGCACAGCCAGACTGAAGCTTGCACATCAAGGAGGGACCTTGCGGAGGTGGACGCTAGCCTAGCCGGGCTCATCACACTGAGATGAGCGAGCAGAGGCCCCTTCATCTCTGGACTTTGCTGCACAGCCCCGGTCCCCACCCAACCACACGAATCTCTCCCTGCCGCCCACGCGTCCAAAGAGAACTGCTGACACTGGCCATGCACCGCCCACGGCTCGGCACCTGGCGTCTCCTGCTCCTTCATTCTTCTCCCTCCACCCCGACAACCCCAGGACGGGGGTTTGGCCATTTTACAAAGGAAGAAAGTCGCGCTTTGCTGGTAGGAAGCAGAGTCCTGATTCGGACTCGGGGCTGGTCATGCGCCCAGCCCACCAAGGCCCACATGCCACCCACACACCCTGCCCCGGCCTCCTGGGGCTCTCACCCCACAGTTGTTCATCTTCCCAACTACAGTGACTGTGCCCGGCCAGGAACCAGGCTCAGAGCACTGGCTTCCGGGCTCAGAAGACACACCTCGATGGGAGTGAGCGAGTGCGTGCGCATTCCAGGTCCGGATAGAAAGCCAGTCATATTTTAGCGGGGACTGCTTAACACCACCATCCTGCGCTGCGCCACTGTTCAAAGCATTAATAGATCTCTAGCAGTCTGGCAAAGTTACCCAAGTGTAAAGGTCACCATGACGTGTGGACACTCTCAGGACCACGAAGGAAGCAGCTCCTGACAACCCTACCTTGACCTCTGAGCACTGATTACCAGGAGAAATGGGAGACAGGTCTGCATCGTTACAGATCCTGCTGAGAAAACCACTGGACAGACAAGGAAGAGGATACTAAGCAGTCACTGAAAATGATCACATGCATTTACATCTGACCCTCAAAGACATTGAGAGATGCTAAGCTGAAAAAAAAAAAAAGAGAGGTTGCTGCAGGCCACCCTGACTGCGTGAGGCCATGTACCTGAAACTCGACAGGGACACACGTGTCCAGAGGGCAGAGGGTGAGCAAAGGGCTAGGCTTCGGGCCGGACCGCCCCGGCGCCCCCGCATCACCACACGCAGCTCCCTGGAGAGATCTTGTCCTGGGGAAGTGCCAGGCACGTGCTTTGGGTCTCAGCTTCCTCAGCTTGAAAAGGTATCAAAACACGGCAAACGTGTTCAAGTCTGTGAGTTCATACGATGCCAAAAAAAGAAAGGGAAAGAACCCAACTGGTCCCCTTTTTTGTTCCTAATTGGTCCCTGTGAGACAGGAGAGTGACTTGTCACCCTGACACTGTGATAAAGGGAGAAAGCAAGCATCTCCCTGGGCCACCAAAAGGGGACAAAACACTGCCGAGATCCTCTCTTTGCCGCCCCGAGCGAATGAATGAACCACAGGGAGAGCTTGGCGGACAGCACCACCTCCTGACGCACAGAGGACGTGGGAGACGGGAGCGTGGAGGTGCAGGCAGTGGGACCTGCCCCGGCTTGGCGGCGCCCACATAGAGACAGTAAGGAATAAAACAGGGCAGGAGAGACTTGTAAGACATACAAGAAAATAGACCCCAGGCAACCAGGTGACACTGGGTGGTGGGTCTGGGGTGCCTGCCAGTGAGGCCGCATCATAACTAGCACAGCGAGGTGGGCACTTTCAGGGGGGGAGGGAGCACGACTAGGGTGGTGCGTGCAGGGGCTCCTGGGGGCTGGTGAAGGTCTACTTGTGGCCTGGGTGGTGGGCACAAGGGAGTTTGCCTAATAATGAGTCATCAAGCCATTCTTCCATTGTGTGTTTTCCTGGATCTGTATCTTATGTTAAAAACCTTAAAAATTTTTGTTTTAATTACTAGAAAGGGGCTCAGATAGCACCTGCCCCTGGAGCTGCCTTTAGGGCTCAATAGGACACTACATCCAGTCACATACAAGGAATGCTCACCATGTCCAAGGTGCTGGTTTAAGGGGCTTATGCGCAGAGCCCACCTGGAGCAACCCTGCATGTGTATGTTTATGACCCCCATTTGACAGCAAGCAAACAGGCTCATGCTGGCTAAGAACCTCGCCCAACGTAACAGGGCTGGTGAGCGGGAGCAACGTTGGTGGGACAGGTCAACTCCCTTCCTAAAGCACGCAGTGCGCAACCTGTGCACGCAAATTCGCCTGCTCCAACACCACCGGCCTCCCTGCGGTGCCCCGGCCCAGGGTGTGCCCCCACTGCAGCAGGACTTGCTGGAAGTGAGTCGCTGACCTGCTAACAGGGCTTCTCCCTGGTTGGCAGGGATGCTAAGTGGTCGTTTCATTCTTCCTCCAATTTCTGATGGTTAGAATTTTAAAAAGCATACATCAACCAAATCCTCAGGAGATTACGCTGGGTGAAAACAGCCGAACCTGAAGATCACACACTGTATGATTCTGCTTCGTTAGCTCTCTTGCTACAGAGGTTGCAGACATGAAGCACAGGTCTGTGGTCGCCAGGGCTCTGGGGACGGGACTGGGGCGGGGGTGTGGGCACATGGATGTGGGTATTAAAGGTCAACGCAAGAACCCTTGTGTTCTGAAGCCGCTCGGTATCTTGACTGTGGTGGTGACACTGAACCGTCCCAGGTGACCGAGTTGTGTAATCACATGCGCGCATGCACACACACACACAGGTGCTGGGGAAATGGGAAACCTGGAGAGATGGGTGGGTTACGTGCATGTCAACATCCACGCTGTGACACTAACTACAGCTGTCACCTTGGGGGACGGTTCCCAGGATCTTTCTGCATGCTTGCTTACAGCTGCAGCTGAAGCCATAACGATACCCATTTCAGTTTAAAGACAAAATCGAAAAACGCATGCGTCGTTTTACGAAAACAACAATGAAAAGCAGGGTGGACGGCGTTTGCAGAAGTATCAACTTCTAGGGGAAGTGCCACTCACCCTAGAAATGGGCTGACGAGCTGCAGGAGCTCAGAGCCAGACACGAGCTCCTGGTTGAAGAGTGCGATGCAGCGCAGGAAGTTCTCATAGACCTCCTGGCTCTTCAGCACCCTGCGGACCTGCGGGGAGAGCGGGTGAGGCCCAAGCGCCCCTGCGCCGGCTCGGCTCAGCTGTCACTAGGTCACAACACCGGCATGCTTGTAAGTGACCGGCTGCGGTCTGCGGGCGCTGCTCTCCGGGCAGCAACTCGCAGCTCAGCCATCTCGCTGGCTCTGTGCACCAACCCTGGCGGGGAGCCCAGGACTGTCCCTGCTTTAGAGACGCTGCCTGACTGAGGAGCGGCAGGTGCGTATCCTCAGCTCTGCCTTCTCCCTTGGCCTGGGTGTCCCCCGCCCGCCACTTGCCCCTGCTGGCTGACAGCTTTCCCACTCCCTCCCCTGGGAACAGCAGTGGGGCAGCCCCTCCTCCCAGACCCAGCCCAGAGCTCCAGCACTATCTGGTCCCTTCCCAGGACTTCTGCCCCAGCAGCCCACCCACCTACCTTGTCAAAGAAGGAGAACTCCTGCAGAGTCCCATACTTGCCCACAGCGGCGATGGACAAGTCTTTGGTGCCACGGAGCTTCATTTTCTTCTGTGGACAGAAATCCCATGCCGTCAATGCTCTGAGATCCCGTGGGCAGCCCCTCCACCCGTCTTCATGAGAGTCGTACCACGGCCACCCTGAGCCCTCCTGACGGGAACCGTCATGGGGCGCTCGATCAGGTCTGTCCGGGACCCCAGCACAGACTTCTCAGGGAAGGGCGGCCATGACAGTGGCCTAGTCTTTTGAGGACCACCCACCTCCGCCTCTGTGAGCCAGTGAAAGGGGAAGGTCACACCATCGCTCTCCCCACACTCTGGGATCTAAATCTTGGCTGTTTAGGGCTTTTGATAACAGATGGGAGCATCATCAAGTCAGAAAAACAAGGGAAAGGTGTCCCTGGATACAATATCAGAAACCTCTTCTTCTGCCTGTTTTGTCCTGTGGGCCAGTATGGTGATGGGCAGGGACAGAAAGAGGACAGGATGATTCTGCAGAAGCCTAGGTTTTAAATCTCGGCAAACAATTTTGTCTCTAAGCTGGACTTGGACCTGAACTTAGCTGTACTCCTGAGGCATTGAGGACGCTACAAAATCATCTCTCAAGCATCTAAAGAACGATGGTGACATGTCAAAAGGACAGAGGAGCCAGCCCGAAAGGGACCCATTGGCCCAAACTGAGACATCAAGTTCAGGCATCAAGATAAACAATGATAGTCCATACTGACATACGTAACTAAATAAACGGGGAGGAAGGAAAAGCTCTTCCTTATAGTAGAAAGCCAACCAGTAAATGCACAAGGAATGATGGAATTAGAAGATCACTATCACGACGAGTGCCACAGGAACTGGATCTCAGCTCCTTTCACCCCTCGGTGGGGTGCCTTGTGCAGTGACCAACCTGCACAAGTGTACAGGGCAGGCCTGCTCGTGAAACACTCTGATGGTGCAAAGGAGCAGACTGACCGGCACACCCCATTACTGTGGGAGAAGGTAACACTCCTTCTCACAACAATCCCATGAGCCAGGGGGAATGCGTGAATGGCCACCTTAGAGGCGAGCCAACTTCCCAAGGTCCCACAGCTGGTGCATTTCAAGTCAGACCAGGATCCAGATTTGGCCTCCTGCCCCAGGCCTGCTGCTTGGGGCCTCTGCACAGTGCTTCCCAGGTCACCTACAGAGAAGACCAGGCCACTAAGAGTCCACATACGTGGACATCTATGCTCACAGCTGATGGTCACCTTGGCTGGTGCAGACACGGGACGGAGGAGCGAGGGCCGAGAGCGCTTTTTGCTGTGCTCCAGATTCTTCTCGTGCTCGCTCTTCTGGACACTGTTCACTTCGCATGGCCCGTTTCCTGTGAACTGAGAACACAGACATGGGAGGTGGTGAGTGCTGGAGAGACAAGGCGAGGCCCAGCAGTGCTGGTTCTCGATGCGTCTGAGCGCACGGAACTGCCTTCGGCTCTGCCCACAGCCCCAGCGAGTGCTGTGTGCCACGGGCTGGGGGCCCTGTCCGCATGTGAGGTGACTCGTCTCAAGGCGTTCACGTTTACTGGTGGAGAGACTTGTGCAGCCCGATCATTGCAGCCTAACACTGTGAAGCTGAGAGAAGGCTCACGGAAGGCCGAGATGGACGAGGGTCCTCATGGGCTCGGCAGCCTCGGGAGGAGACGCTGCAGTTGGGCCTGGGCCTGCGGAGGCTCATCCAGCAGACCACTGGCATGGGGGTCTGATTGCATGTTTGACTGCACCACAGAAAGGGAAAGAACATCAAGCAGGCACTGGCATGTGCCAAGCCCTGGCAGCAAGAGGATGCAGCGGACAGCCAGCAGGTCACTCAGGGCCTTCCAGCCAAGTCTGTATTCTTTTCTATGAATGAGAAAACGCGTCTCGGGGGCAGTGTCATTACTCGGTGCGGGGCTTGTTGCTGGTCCTCCCAGGCTCTACGCCAGCCAATGATTAACAGATCAGGGACGCTCATCCCAAGTGTGGCATCTACAGGATGTTGGCAATTTTTATGAAGAATGGTTCTGAAGAATCTATTCAGGATTTCCATCTATGTGAATGTGCCGGAAAGCTAGAGTGGGCAGAGGAAAGGCAGACAGACTTCCGCTTTTCTGAGGGATGTGGGCAGGGCCGGAGGCGCATCGTAATCACCTCCACCGTGTTCCCAGTTCCCACCCCACCAGAGGACCTGGAAGCGGAAACACCACAAAAGGGCGTGCTGTCGGCCCAGAGCATGGCTGGGTAAATGGGCCAGGGAGCCTCCAAACCAAACAGCCAGCAACTATCACTACAAGTTAGCTCTGTGTCTCCGTGTCCCCGTTGGGGACAGGCGTACCTCATACATTGTTACATAAAACAGAAAAACACCCTGGGGCCAGAACAAACAAGATGCCATTTAGTCTTTTTTGAGGATGAACATTTGTTTGCACATGCAGAGGCAATTTCTGGAAAGATACATAATATAAGACACTTGTAAGTGCTTAACTCTGAGGACAGCGACTGAGAAACTGGGAAGTTTACTTCTCATACTTGATAATCTTACTAACGCTGGATTTTTCTCATGAGTACATACTATTTTTATAGTAATAATTATAATGACAATAATAAAAACCTATCTTTCAACTACAGGCAAAACCTGTCCCTTAGGGGATTAAACTGTTTTGGAGAATATTTATTCAAAGATCCAAAGCTACTCCAAGAACCTGAAGTGGAGAAGCTCACATGCACAGAGCAACGCTCCACTGGCGTTTCCGTGTCTGATCCCAGGTGAAGTGCAAACACCATCGCCTAAAGGAGCCGGAGGGGGATGGAGTGACGCGCGCTGATTGGGACGGGGGGACCTGACGGGAAAAGCCGCTGCTCGCCCAGCCAAGCTCGCAAGCTGGAAGGCAAGCTCAACACCAATCTTCCCTAACAGTTCAGACGGTTCTTATTTTTTCATTAAATGCCCCAATTTGTGAACACTTGAGCTAGATGGACCCCCAAAGACCTTGGCTAGGGGCTGGCATATTCACCACGCCTGGCGTGTGTTTGTAAATAAAGATTTATTGGCACACAGCCACGACCATTCGCTGACGTAGGGCTCAGGGCTGCTTGCTCGATGACAACAGGAGAGGCGGGTCTTTGCCGCAGAGGCCATGTGGCCTGCAAAGCCTGAGACACTTACTATCCAGCCCTTTATAGAAAAGGTTTGCAGACCCTGATGGAGGCCAAACAGTCAAGTGTAATTAGGAAAATATCAAATTTCATCTTTAGTTTCTTTTTCCTGCAGTTTTAATAGAAACCCAAAAATTATATAAAGGATCACCAATGTAAGATCAGTTTATGCAACAGATTACATATAGGTGTTTTTAGTAATTTAAAAAATTGACTCAATCTTTTTAAATGTACAAGATAGTTCCAATTGCCCAATATACACTAAAAAACTTTGCTGAATTGCTAACAAATGCTATTTAAAGAAACCGTGTGGGGGCCAGCCCCGTGGCGTAGTGGTTGAGTGCGTGCGCTCTGCTGCTGGCGGCCCGGGTTTGGATCCCAGGCGTGCACCGACGCGCCGCTTGTCAGGCCATGCTGTGGCGGGGTCCCATATAAAGTGGAGGAAGATGGGCACAGATGTTAGCCCAGGGTCGGTCTTCCTCAGCAAAAAGAGGAGGATTGGCACGGATGTTAGCTCAGGGCTGATCTTCCTCAAAAAAAAAAAAAAAAAAAAAAAAACTGTGTGGGCAGGCAGTTTCCTGAGGGAAATGCTTCTTTGTTTAGGGCAGGCGCTGTCAGTGTCCAACTTTGTAAATTCAGAGTGAGGCCCACTGGGGGCGCTGAGACCACAGCCAGGGGAGGAGAGGCTCCACGTGCCCCTACCCAACCAGCATCTGAAGAAGCACTGCGAAGATGAAGACGCAAGGAGCCAAGGCCGCCCTTGCCAAAACACTGCTGAGTCGGGGCGCGCAGTACGGACTGCCTCTTCCATCAGTTACCGAATGTCTGCGCTGTACCCCACAACTGCAGCACACAGGGCTCCCCACGTGCTCTACCAACCTCCTGCAGAGGCGCTCAGCCCAGCAAAGGCAGGGCCCTCACACAGCCCTGGGCTCACCCCAGCCAGGCGCCTGCTGAGGACTCCTCCACCGGGCCTGGGGAAAGACGTCCTCAGGGCCACTGCGACATGGAGTGGTGGCTCCAGGAGTGGTCGGCCAGGCTCCCGCAGCGAGGAGGCGACAAAGCATCGCGTGTGCCCATCTCCTGGGGGACCAGGCTCAGAAGAGCTGAGATGCGAGATCCACATCCAAGAGGATGAGACCCAAAGACAAGCCACCAAGCACACAAGGGGGCCAGACAGGACCTTGCAGCGGGTGACTGGACCCAGCGCGAGCTCCTGGGGAGGCAGAGGCCTGAGTGCCTCAGGCTGCACCAACACAAGAAGGGCGTGAAGTAGAAGGGAGGAGGTGAGACCCATCCACTTCTCAGCCATGCGGCCCCCAGAGCCAGTCAGGAGAGCCTTTGATGAGCAGGAGCGTGTACAGAGGAGGAAGACAGGAGTGATGCCGGGACAGCAAAGGACGTCATTTGGGAGAAGGGAGAAGAAAACCCAGGAGGGCTTCTGAACTTCACAGAGACATATGGGGCCGACAGAGGACTCGGAGGAGAAAGTTGGATGCAAGGGTAAGGCCATGTGGAGGTGGGCTCGGCTGAGAGGCCCAGTACAGACACCTTTGGTGGGGTGAGCTCTCCATCTCAGGAGGGATTTCAGACAAGGGCTTCATTCAACCTGCCCCAGGTACTCCCCAAAGGCCTCCCACAGGCCAGGCAGCAAGCTGGTCCTGGGGATGCAGAAGGAGGCCCTGCAGACATCCGGCAGGGATGCTGACACCAGGAGGAGGGATGAGGCGACCAGCTGGATTCTGCACCTGCTTTTCCTCAACAATCACAGCTGCTCTGTCCAGAGCACTGAGCACGCGTTGGGCCCTGTGTGAAGCACATGAAGGACAACAGCTCTCGAGTCCCCCTCCCTGAGCAAGAGAGCCGGTCGTCCCCGTGCTGACAGAGAAGGAAACGAGGCCCAGGAGGTGATGCCTGCCTGCAGTGCCCAAGGAGGCTGAGTGAGGGTGGAGGCCCAGGCTGCGTGGTCACGGGGCTTAGCCCAGCCCCCCGAGGATGCCCAAGGCTCCAGGCGGGTGGGAAGGAGAAGCTACAGCTCCGGGACTTGGTGCCAGCCCCACAGACGGGCACCGAGCGTCTCTGACTGGGAGTCAAGAAGTGTTTCCAGGAGGCTCCGGTACAGCGCTCCTTGTCCTGGAAACAGTAAGGCAAGGACAAGCCCCAGCCATGCACTGGAAGTCTGCTGACTCAACCAGGATTCCTGACAGCATCCAAACTCAGACTCCTGTTGCTCCCGAGCCCCTCCCTCCAAGACCCACTGCCCCTAGAACTGCCCCCCCCCCGCTACATCTCCATTCAGAAGCAGGACCCGGGAGAGCTGGTGGGGATGCATCGGGGGTGTGGGGAGGCTCTCACGTGCTCACACTCCAAGTCATCAGCAAGGGCAGAGAGGAAGGACGAAAAGAGGAAACAGAACAGTCAACACACTGGGAACAGAAGGGCACTTCCCCAACCCGATCAAGGGCGTGGATGAAGAACGCACAGCTCGCAGCACACCCACTGGGCCTCTACGATCAGGAACAAGAACAGGGGCCAGCTCTCACCATGTCCACTCAACACAGCACTGGAGGTTCCACCAGAGCAACCAGGCCAAAGAGAAAAGAAAGAAAATGTATTGAAATTGGAAAGGAAGGAGGGAAACTCTGTTAGCAGATGGTATGATGTGATATGTAGAAAATCCTAAAGAATCCACAAAAACTGTTAAAGCTAATAAACAGATTCAGCAAAGTTGCAAGATACAAAATCAACACACAAAAAGCAGTGGTATCTGTACATACACTTGCAATGAATAATCCAAAAATGAAATTAGGAAAACAATTCCATTTACTATGGCATCAAAAAGAAAAAGGTATTTGGAAACAAAGGTAAAAAAGGAGGTGCAAGACATGTACATGGAAAACTATAAAACATTCCTGAAAGAAATTAAACAAGATTTAAATAAATAGAAAGATGCCCCGTGTTCATGGATCAGAAGACTTAATATTGTTGAGATGGCAATATTCCCCAAAGTGATCTAAAGATTCAATGTGATCCCTATCAAAATCCCAATGGCCTTTTTTGCAGAAATGGAAAAGCTGACCTTCAAATTCATATAGAATTGCAAGAGACCCCGAAAAGCCAAAACAATCTTGAAGAAGAACAAAGTTGGGGGACTCACACTTCCTGATTTTAAACTTACTACAAAGTTACAGTAACCAAGACTGCATTACTGGCATAAGGACAGACAGAGAGATCAACAGATTAGAACTGAGAGTCCAGAAATAAACTCATACAAATATGGACAATTGATTTTTAACAACAGTGCCAAGACGCTTCAATGGGAACAGAATAGTCTCTTCAACAAATGGTATTGGGACAACTGGATCTCCACGTGCAAAAGAGCGAAGCTGGACCCCTACCTCACACCATATGCAAAAATTAACTCAAAATGGATCAAAAACCTAAGTACAAGACCTAAAACTATAAAACTATTAGAAGAAAATATAGGGAGAAACCTTCCTGAGCCCAGATTTGGCAATGGATTCTTAGATTTCACATTAAAAGCATGAGCAACGAGAGAAAAAATAGATAATTGGATTTAATCAAAACTAAAAACATAAGTGCAAAAGACATTAACAAGAAAGTGAAAAGACAACCTACCTAACAAAGGAAAATACCTGATAAGGATCTAGTGTCCAGAATATAGAAAGAACTCCTACAATTCAAAATATAAAGAACTCCAACAACAAAGAGAGAAACTAAAAAATGGGTGAAGGACTTGAATAGACATTTCTCCCAAGAAGCTATACAAATGGCCAATAAGCATATGAGATGCTCAATATCATTAGTCATCAGGGAAATGCAAATCAAAACCACCATGAGACATCACTTCACTCTGACTATGAAGGCTAGAATTAAAAAAAGAGGAAAACACCAGTGTTGGCGATGATGTGGAGAAACTGAAACACTAGTATATTGCTAGTGAGAACATAACATGGCACAACTGCTGTGGAAATGAGTTCGGTGGCTCCTCAAAAAGTTAAACTTACAGTTACCATATGACCCAGTAATTCCACTCCTAGGTAGAGACCCAAAAGAACTGAAAATAAAGACTCAAACCAATCCTTGTACACGCATGGGCATAGCAGCACTCTTTACAATTGCCAAAAAGTGGGAATGACCCAAATTCCACCAAAGGGTTAATGGATAAACAAAACTCAGTCCATCCACACAATGGAATATTACTCAGCCATAAATAGGAATGAAGCTCTGACACACACTACAACATGGATGAACCTCAAAAACATCATGCTGAGTGAGAGAAGCCAGACACAAAAGGCTGCATAGTGTGTGATTCTATTTATATGAAACGTCCAGAACAGGGAAATCTATAGAACAGACAGCAGATTACAGGGTGCCAGGGGCTGGGGGAGGGGGATGGGGAGTGATTGCTAATGGGGATGGGGTATCCTTTTGGGGTGATGGACATGTTCTGGAACTAGACAGAAGTGATGATTGCACAACATTGTGAACGCATTAAATGCCACTGAATTGTTCACTTTAAAATAGTGAATTTTATGTTATGGGAATTTTACTTCAATTTTTTAAAAAAGCCTTAAGTTCACGGAAAATAAAAGAAAAAGAGGAAATGGGAAGGGCAGCCTGGCAGGCCTCAGGCCACAGTAGGTGGCAAAAGACTAGCACGGCAGTCTGTGCCCTCAACATCACTGTCCCAGGCCCCTCGTTGCTCTCTGCCCCTCAGTCACTGCCAAGCCTCAGCCCCCACTACCCAGGCCCTCCAGAGGAGGCAGTGGTGGGCCCGACCCTTCCTGCACCTTCCCACAGGGCCCCTCACCAGGCAGGTGAGGGCTCTGTAGTCCTGGGCGGCAGGTCGGGGAGGAATACCAGACATGGGAGGACACCCTCCACCTCCGAAACCAGCCCTGGTGGCTTGGGCACCGTCTGTGCAGAGAAGGCCTCTCCAGGATCTGTTTCAGCTTGATGTGGAGGAGGAGCCTGCACTGGGGGCCCATGGATGTCTGCACCCCGTGTGGCTTCTGGGGGAACCCAGCATGTCCTAGGCAGTGGACAAACCTGGCCTGGCCCAGGGGGCTGCACTGAGGCACCGGGTCTTGGCTGAGAACGTGGCACCTCGGCCGGATGGGCGACCTGTACTCACCAGGGACCGCTTGGCTTCAGGCAGGAACTGTCCAAACTCAGAGAGCAGGTCCTCCTGGCCCCGGAAGAGGTTGGCCACCTCGGTGAACACCTCCTCTTCAGACATGCCTCGGAACGGCCGGCCCTTCGTGCTCAGCTGCTCCTTCTGCCGATTGTCAGGAAAGAGAAAACAAGTCATTACCAAGAACGAGGCACCCAGGCCGTGACATACAGGCATCCCACTGTGGAGGAGACAGAGGGACGGCTCACAAAAGAGAGACTCGGCCGGCGGAGCCCACGAGGGCCGCCAGCAGAGAGCAGCCCTGCCTGCCTCCCTGGCGACAACTCAGGGCGCCTGAGCCGGGTCCTCGTGCGCCAGAGCACAGTTCTGTGCACTTGCATCTCGAGCTTGCTCCACAACACAGCCTTAACCCCGGCCACAGGTGGGGCTCGTGCTAGGAGTGTGGAGGCGTCGTCGGGGAGGAGCACGGTCGTGGAGGGACCAGGTCCCAGCCTGCAAGTGTCCTTCGAGTGGGGAAGTGCAATGTGAGCAGCGAATCTGAAGCCCTCCCAAGGGCAAGGGGGCACGTCTTGCTGCACGAGGGAGAGCAGAACTGGTGCTGGGCCTTGAAGGCAAGGGAGTGAAGAGGGAAGGGAAGGGACTTCCAGGTCAAGGGACCTATTTGCCCGGAGGGTGGAAGACGACCTGACCTAGAGCCTAAAGCACAAGATGAGGACAGAGGGGACCCGGGTCAGGAGGGCAGGAAGCTGCGAGCAGAACTCAAGTCAGCCGTTAGAAATAAGTCCCCGTCAACTTTATACCCAAGAGTGTAACAGAGTGCACGGCACGACATCCCAGAGTGCCCTCATGTCTCCCGGCCCGCTGCACCCTGAGCAGAGCTCCCGCTTAGGAGGAAAACACAACTGCCTCCTTCCCAACCTCTCCTCAAAGCTACTAGGACACGTGAAAGCCAGAGAGAAAATGGGCCCAGGCCACTCGGTTCAGAGAATAAATACAAATCCTCTCTATACATATGACACAACGATCAAACCGAGAGACAGGCAACAAGTACAAGTGGAAATGGCACCGCAGCACCTCCTGCTCACCAGATTGACAAAGACGAAATGGACTGGTGATTTCCATGAGGCGGGGGAAGCGGCTCTCCAACCACAGGCGGAGAGGGAGAGCGGCAAGCTGGTGGGGAAGCTCGGCGCCGCCCACCATCCCTCAGGGCGTGACTCAGGAGGGCACGTGCTGGGAATGTCCCCCGAGAGAGTGCTGCTCCACGGCTTGTTCTGAGCACACAAACCTGCCTGGCATGACAGCCGTGCTGGGAACGACCGGAGCACAGGGGGCCTCCCGTCTGCCTATGCGGGCTTCTGTCCAGGAACAACCGCAGGCCAGTGTGGAAAACTACACCCAGCTCACCGGGGCCACGTGGCATACACAACCCCTGCACACCCAGCCCTCAACGTCTACTGCTCCCTCAGTTGGCAGGAGCCACCCTGCCTGCCCGCCCGTCTGGGGTGACAAAGTTCTGGTCTTCCCAGTACCTCCCAGTGACCGCAGGCTGCAACCTTCCCACGCCCACGTGCAAGTGTGAACCTCAGGTCTTTTCCAAGGTCAAGTGCTGGACATGCTGTAGGATTCATGCCATTCTTAGCCATTTAACATGTGCACAACGATGCTACCCTTTTAAGTAGGTGCCATCTTTTTTTTTTTATGTACCCTGACTCTGTTTTCCCATAAGCCCTGTGGCTGGTGCAAATTTGCAGAGCACAGTCATTTTTAGGGACACACATGTCATGCCAGGGCAGAACTGACACACACAGGACATATGTAAGAAGTTGGATAATGGGGAGCAGCTGCCCACAGCTGGCCTGAGGTAAGCACTGTGCTTGAAGCAATGACCTCAGTTAACCATATTTCAGCACCAGCATGAGGCCGTCCCGGGGATTAGAACCTGGAGGCCCCGGGTGGTGAGGGCAAGGGCTCTGTGGGGGCAGGTGGCAGAGCTAAGGTCTGAACCAGGCCCAAGAGAGATGGAAACACAGTAACATGTGGCCAAATTCACCCTAGAGCTCCTTGCTTTGGCCCTCACGGTGTCTTTTAAAAATCCAAGCCAATGTTCTAGAATCAGGATAATTCACACAAAAATTTAGACTTTCAGCTCCTCTTGAAGAAACGGATGATCTGAGGTTGGAGTCGCCAGGGAGCTTGTTTAAAATGCAGATGCCAGGCTGGACCTGATGAATCATAAGTCTGAAGTGAGGCCCAGGCATCTGCATTTTCAACCAACTCCCAGTGGCTCTGGTTGGAGGACGTCGAGCTGTGCTTTCCCCTCACGCTCTCTCTGCATGAGTCTGTGGCCCATCACCATGACCTTGGATAAGTAAGTCTAACTTCTCTGGCCCCCAACTCCCACTGACAGAACAGATACCTCCCAGCCTTTTCTCTGAGGATCCTCCCAGCCCTTAAGATGTGATGACCCCGTGGAACCTGTGAAGGACCCACAAAGCCCTAGGACCACAAACATCACCCCCACACAGATCGGATATTCACAGCTGCCACATGCAACCACTTCTCTGTGAGAAGCAAGAAGCTCTTAATGCTGCACAAGACCCAGGCAGATGCTGGCCGTGAGGCCGATGGTGCATGCTCATTGCCAGCACTGCTGATGGCACATGTCTGTTGCATCACAACAGCTCTACTGAGTTTACGGGGAGCAAACGCCATCGACCTGATCTTAAACACTTATGTTAAAAAGAATCCTACTTCTTTATTTCACTTAACTAGGTTGTGCAGATTTCATTTTTAAAAGTGGGTTCTGCTTTTTAGAAAAATAAAAGGCACTGGAGGATGATGTCTGAGCTCCTTGCATGACACACACAGCCACTGGCCTGCCTGCACTTCCTGCCAAGTCCCCTGGAGCCAGCTGTCTGCTCTGACCCCTGGGCCTTTGCACAGGCCATTCCCAGCAGGGAGCATCTACTCTTCGTCCTTAATCTTCTGCCTGATGGTTCTGACCGATTTGTCAAGATTAAACCTGAATATCCCCTCCCTGACCCCTGACAACTCCCAGTGGGGTCAACTCCCTGGCGACCTCTCCTACACAGACCCCATCTTTTCCACCCCAATCCATCTCTAAGTTTCTTTCGCCTCTGGACTGAACTCCTAGGCAGCAGCCACCATTCATCTCTGTCTGCCCAGAACCTGGCACGGGGCCCAGTTGTAATCTATGCTGATTACAACTTTATTTATGCTAATAAAGGATAGCTGTGTTGCCTAAATAATAACAAAGTCATCTTACAAAAAGACGACTGTTGGAATATAAACTAAAACACGGACAGAGAGAACAGTTTGGTGGTTACCAGGGGGAAGAGAGTTGGGGGGTGGGCACAAGGGGTGAAGGGGCCCATTTATGTGGTGACCGACAAATAATAATGTGCAACTGGAATCTCACAATGTTATAAACTATTATGACATGAATAAAAAAATTAAAGAAGACTGTCTGCTTAGGTTCTTTTTTAATCTCTCTAATGTCTATTTATTTCCTAGTACTTCTTGGGTGCAGAGGTGCCTTAAGGAGCAAATTAAAATCAAAACTAAACAGAATTCCAACAGTATTTGTACACTCATGTTCACAGCAGCACTACCCACAATAGCCCAGATATGGAAGCAACCCAAGTGTCCATCGATAGATGAATGGAAAAACAAAAGGTGGTCCATCCATACAATGGAATATTATGCAGCCTTAAAAAGGAAGGAAATTGACACATGCTACAACACGGATGAACCTTGAGCACATTATGCTCAATGAAATAAGTCACACACGAAAAGACAAATACTGAATGATTCCACTTATATGAGGGCCCTAGAGAAGTCAGACTCATAGAGACAGAAAGTAGAACAGTGGGTGCCAGTGGCTGGGGGAGGGAGGAATAGGGAATTAGTGTTTAATGGGGACGGAGTTTCAGTTTCACAAGATGAAACAGTTCTGGAGATGGGTGGTGGGGATGGCTGCACAACAATGTGGATGTGCTTAATGCCACTGAACTGTACACTTCAAAATGGTTAAAATGGTAAGTTTTATGTTTTGTATATTCTACCACAGTAAAAAAAAAAAAAAAGCTAGTCAGAATTTCACAGGATTTCATGAATTCAGACAAGAAAATATGAATGCTTCCAATGCACCCGATATTGGATGACGCCACGAACTCCCCAGAGAAGTGTGACTTGAGGCCTCTGACCTGGTAAGTGTGCAGTATCTCCAGGAAGGACCTGTAGATCTCTGGGTGGTCCAGAAAGCGGGTCTTAATCTTGTTCACGTAGCTGATGGCGTTGTTGAATTCCACCGAATCCGACTCCAAGGGCACCTGGTGTTTGTCCTCCTTATCCAGCATCTGCTGCTTGAAGTTCTCTGCACAGTCGCTGTGGCTGTGTGAACTCTCCTGACAACAACACGACAGTGACTTAGTGTCGGGGCCCACACCGGGAACAGATTGTGAGAAACGCAAGACAGCCACTGTACGTATGAGCACAAGCGAAACCAAGCACAGAGCCAAGTGTTTTAATTAGATGCAAGAGAAGGTTACCTCTGGGGGCCTGGAGGGAGGGAAGCGGGGGGCACACAGAGCGTGCAGACAGCGCCTCCCTCAGCATTCGGCACGTCTGCGTGCTCCTGGGCGGGTCTCCTGACCTCACCTCCGCCTCATCCTTCTACATCGATTCTAAGAACATGAAGGTTTGACACACTCTACCTTTGGAAAAATGAGCATTCGGGAGAAATTTACAAAAAGTGGATTGTTTAATCCTTTTCAGAGTGGAGTTTTGGGCTGTTTATAAAAGAAGCCTGCCCACACCTTTTGCCAGCCCATTTCAGACAGTGTTTTCACATGTGAAAGCACGTGCTGTCAGCAGCAAGGGGAAAGTCGGGAGGGATCAAACTGGGACCCTGGAGGGGAAGGGGCCAGGGCCAGCTTGCCTGGGACTGTCAGACTTCCGCTGCTAAGTCAGGGGCAAGGCCCTGACCAGTCATAAAGCATGCCCTCCATTTGTGTGCTTTTCTGTGAACACAAATACACATAGAAAACACACACGTCTCTCCCTGGTGCACTCGGAATCCTAATTCGTGGGGGTCAGGACCACATCCGTGAAGGAGCTGAAGCTTACGTCTCTAAACTGGAATTTTACGCATGGTGCTGATGACGGCCTCCTCCCCACAGACCATGGCTGGGCCGTCAGGAGTGACCCTCAGCATCCTGCAGGTCCCCAGCCATGGGGGCTGGTTCTGGAGCAGGTCGGGATCCCTCCAGCTCAGGTTTAGGTCTCTGTTAGGACATCACCTTCTCAGTGAGTCTTCTGGAACCATCCTGAGCCAAACTAAAATTACCCATCTCCCAGCCCTCCAAGCCTCTCTCCTGCTCTGTTTTTCTCCACAGCAGGTATCACCTTCTTACATGTAACATATTTTACTTATTTTATTGTCCGTTCACTCCTGACCATGGCCAATGCCATGAGGGCAGAGAATCTGTTTTGCTCACTGCTCACCCCAGGGCCGGGAAGAGACTGGGCTTCATCCACCATTGGGGATGATCGGATGAGGGACAAACCGAGTCTACTGTTTCCACCCCCGCGGCAGCCGGCACCGCACCTGGCACCAACTGCTGACCTGCAGACTCCAACAGGATGGGGTACACCGGGCTCACCACTGCCAACTGTTGTCCAGCCGTCAGCACGACACACACCTCTGCTGGGCACTCTCACCCTCACTGGGGTGCATGCACTAGTCTGCTCGGGCTGCCACAACAAAACACCACGAGTGGGCGGCTTATACAACAGAAATTTATTTCCTCACAGGCCTGGAGGCTGGAAGGCCAAGATCAAGGCGCCAGCAGGGTGGGTATCTCCCGAGGCCTCTTGGCTAGCAGAGGGCTGGCTGTCTTCTCACTGAGTCCTCATAAGGTCGTCCCTCTGTGCACCCACATCCCTGGGGTCTCTCCGTATGTCCTTAATCTGCTCTTCTTCTACGGACATCCATCAGATTGGATTAGGGCCCACCCTCAGAGCCTCATTTTACCTTAATTATCTCTGTAAAGACCCTATCTCCAAATACAGTCACATTCTGAGGTACTGAAGGTTAGGACCTCAACATATGAATTTGGGGGGTAGGACACACAATTCAGCTCCTAACAGTAGGTGTAGAGGCAACTCTAGAAAGTCTGAGCTATGGAAAGCAAAGATCCAAAAGATCCAGAGCATTCCAAATTCTAAATATCATTTCTCCCTGGCAGTGGAATTCATTCTAAGACACTCTGGGGACACTTGCTGATTACCTTTGCTTAAGCTCATAAGCAGTCTGCATTCGTGTTCCTTCAGGGTTCACAGGCTTGGCAGTGGAAGGAGCTGGAAAGAGCTGGAAGGAGGGGCAGAGGGAGCAGCCTTGGAGCCAGTGTTTGCTTCAGAGGAGGTGCTCACCGGGAGCTCCCCACCACTGCGAGGGGGCCTTCTCAAGTGCCACGGGCCTCTTCCAAACCCCTGCAGTGAGTTACTGTGACAAGTCGGAGACCCACCCCTGGAGACCAGGGCTCAGCAAAAAGGGCCAGATAGTAATGGCACAGCCACTGTGGCAAACAGTCTGGCGGTTCTTCAGTAAGTTAAATACAGTCACCACATGACCCAGCGATTCCACTCCTAGGTCTCTACCCAAAGAGTCCAAAACAGGTGCTCAAACAAATCCTTGCACAGGCATGTTCACAGCAGCACTAGTCACAGTACAGTAAAAGGGGGAAACAACCCAAGTGTCCATCAACTGATGATGGATGAACAAAATGTGGTCCATCCATACAGTGGAATATTACTCAGCCATAAAAAGGAACGAAGCTCTGATACAACACGGATGAACCTCAAAAACATCATGCTGAATGAAGGCCAGACACAAAAGGCCACATAGTGTGTGATTCCATTTATATGGAATGCCCAAACCAGGCAAATCTGAAGAGACAGAAAGTGGACTAGCAGTTGGCAGAGGAGAATTGGGAGGTAGTTTCTTTCTGGGGTGATAGAAATGTTTTGGAATTAGTGGTGGTGGTTGCCCAATACTGTGAATATACTAAAAACCACTGAATTGGACACTTTAAAATGGTTATAACGATGAATTTTATGTTATGTGAATAATACCACATTTAAAAAATTTTAAATTTTTCTTTAACGTAATTTTTAGAAAACATAAAAACCACTGGCCATACAGAAACAAGCTGGCTTTGGCCAACGGGGCATGGTTTGCTGACACCCTGCTGTAAACCTTCTGGAACAATCCAGTCTTCTCTCTTCTCTGCTGCCCTGGGTGGCCTGGTCCAAGCACAGTTAGAAACGCCTCCCAGACACTGATGAGCCATCTCGCACAGCCAACGCATCCATCTGAGTGTGCCCACACAGCCCCCCTGGACATTTAAAAGAGGCCTCAAATAGCACATTCCGCAGAGCTGCCCCCCACCCCTGCCGCCCCCACTGTTCCCAGGCCTTGCTCATCTCAGCGGGTGCTGCCAACTCTACCCAGAGGCTCAGGCATTCTGGAATCACCCGCAATTCTCATTTTCACTGACACCCTACCCTTGGTCAACAGCACCATCCACTCTGCCTGGTTCACACGGGACACCTCCCTCCCCTCCCCCATCCTCTCTTGCCTCCTCAGTCCATTTCCAGCACAGCAGCCAGAGTGGCCTTTCCAGAGCTCTCCACTAGCTTCCCTCTCTCCTGGCTCTCTCCCACCCTCTCCACTTCACGTCCCAACCCCACTGGCTTCCTAGCTGTTTCTCAAGCACACCCACCCATTCCACCTCAGGCCTTCACACCCCCACCAGGAAGACTCCCTCCAAGACCCAGCACGGCTCCCGATCTCCTCACTCAGCATCTGCTCGCAGCACCTCCTCAAGCCCCGCCCTGTTGTCTTTTGTTCAAAGCACTGAACCCCCTCACAAATTCATCTGTATCTCATGAGTCCCCACCTCAACCACCAAGCACCCCGAGGGCTAGGACTCTGAATAAACCCCAGAGCCTGGCACAGAGGAGGTGGTCTACACCTGCTCAGTGAATGACTAAGACACAAACACAAGAGGCGACCTGCCAGGAACTGCCTGACTTTCCAAATGACCCTCCCCAGAGAGGAGCCGGTGAGACTCCCTTTGAGCGTTAAGGGGTTATTTACACTACAAGCTGCACCTAGGTTTCTCTCTTTACCTGTCCAAGCCAACTGCTGTGCCAGCCAAGCATAAAAGGGCTGGCTCCCAGGAGGCAGGGTCTGCCCTCAACAGGACCCGGAGCCACGAGTCATCACTTTCCTACCCACATCCAGTGTCTTGTTCCTCTGTCATGTTCCTGGCACTGTTCCAGAACGGGGACACAGCTGTGAACAAGACAGACAAGGGTCCTCCCTAATCTAGAAGACTCAGTCTGCCAAGGAAGGCAAACCAACAAGAAACAGTGGATTTTTCATTTTTTTTCCTAGTTTTGCTATTTTGAAATATACAAAACAAGGTGGTGTGAGAATGTCATGGAAGTGGGGGCTCTCTGAGGTGACGTTACAGCTGAGGGCTGGATGACCAGAACCAAAATGACACTTACTCAGGAGGCTGAAGCCCCAGCAAAGGAACCTTCTTCCTGCCACGGTCCTCTGGCTCTCTGCTGGCCACGCTTCCTGCCTCACGGCGCACATGTCTGCCTCCTCCTTTAGACTAGTGCTCTGAACGGGGGCGATTCTGCTCCCCAGGGGACACCTGGCAACGTCTGCAGACATTTTAGATCACCACACTGGGGGAGGGGGTGCTACCGGCATCGGGGGGTGGGGGGTGGAGGCCAGGGATGTTTCTCAGCACCCCATAGCATGCAGGATGGCCCCCACGAGAAAGAACGATCTGGTCCCAATGGTAAGAGCGCCAAGGCTAAGAAACCCTGCACAAAGGGCTCCCCAAAGGCTAGAACTCTCCTACTTCTCTTCCTCAGCACTAAGGAGCTACGCCCTCCTTGTCTGTAGTTGACAGGATTCATGATGAGATAAAAAAATGAAACAAACGAACTGTATTTCAAAATAGTGAAGCTAGAAAAACCAATAGAGAAAAATCACTAAGGCATTGGCGTGTAGGGAGCCCTGGACAGTTCTCAGGCCACCGTGGCCTCGCAAAGGACTCCAGAAAGCTAGGAGAACATCTCGTCTGCACCTGGCGTGAGGACTGCTGAAAAGCGGGGCTGGACACCTGGCAGGTCCGTGGATGCTGACTGAAACCAAGCGGGCAGCTGAGGAAGGGGCCTGGATATGGCTGCTCCCAGCCACAGCAAGACTCACGAGCACTGTTAGGGAGCTGTTACGGAAAGTTCTCGTCAAGCCTTTCTTCAAGTCAAGGACCTTCGTCACCTAAGCCAGCCAAGGGAGACAAGACTGGTTATCTCTACAACAGCGCTCCACGTGTGTGCAGGACAGCAAGGGCCCTGAGGCTGTTCTGGGGGAGGGCCACCTCTGAACGGAACCGCGGTGCAGCTCCCGTTAGATGCAGCCCTGAGAGCGGAGTTAGCCCACCAGTCAGGGATCGAGAAAGCTGACTTCCACAGGCAGAGCGCAGGTTCGGTCTTCCACTCCGGCCCCTTCTCAGCGAGTGACAGTAAGGACACCCAGCGTTTACGGGCGCCTCAGGCCCCCCAGTGTGCCCGGCACGCTGCTGCACATCAGCTTGGTTTCCTCCCCCAGCCGTGATGATGCCGAAGACTAATCCTGCTAAGGCTTTGTCCCTACATCTGGATCCTGGGGCTCCATTTGCAAACGTGAAATGGAAGCTCTTTGGAATTCAGTGGCTGCACGCTTCAAAGTTCCTTTTAAAACCGAGATGCGTTCCTCTGCTTTAATGACACAGCATGCTGATGGTGGCGCCTGCCTTGCGTAGAGAAAAGGCAGAATTTACATGCAAGTCCCTCTCAAAGAGGCACCAGTAGCCTCTCACCGTTCTCTTTCCAAATCCTGACTCCCTCATTGATACACACTGCAACCTTCCTCAGCAGAGGAGAAACCTGCAAAATGCTTCCTGCATAGATTTTTACCTTCTCTGCTAAAACCCCTGGGGGTGGGGGGAGGATTTTGCCCCCAGCAGACACTTGGCAATGTCTGGGGACATTTTTGGCTGTCTCCACTGGGTGAGGGCCTAGTGTGTGGACTCAGGAATGCTGCTAAACATCCCTACGGCAACAGACAGCCCGCACCACCCTCACCCCCACCCCACCCCACTGCCGCAAAACATTATGCCTGAAATGGCAACAGGGCCGAGGTGGAGAAAAAGATAATGGTTACCCTAGAAAAGTAAAGCTCAAATAGGCGTTCTTTTTCTCAGGGGGTCTGGTGAGATCAAGCAAGAAGGGACTACAGAGGTTAGCTGTCACCCAAGAGAGAAGGACCAAAGCTACAAACCTGAGCTGAGCCAAACGCCCTGTTGGTAATTATTTATTTACTTATTTTCCCCCAAAGCCCCAGTAGATAGTTGTATGTCATAGTTGCACATTCTTCCAGTTGCTGTATGTGGGACACGGCCTCAGCATGGCCGGAGAAGCGGTACGTCAGTGTGCGCCCGGGATCCGAACCCGGGCCGCCAGTAGCAGAGCGCACGCACCTAACCGCTAAGCCACGGGGCCGGCAGCACAGCAAAAATAGAAAAGGGTCATTTATACACGCATCTCAACCGCTTTATTTCTTTGCGTGGCATGGAGGGTGACTAGAGGGACCACATGCCCAAGCACAAGAGTGGCCTGCCTAGCGCCCTCACAAGGAAAGCCTCAAGCCAAGCCCTTGACGACTGTGGATACCGTTATTTTGACTGGACATAAAACTGTGCGAGGAGAATGCCTCCCTGACACACACAAACACATCCACTCTACATTTAAACCCTCCAAAAGGATCAATTTGGGATGCAGAGGCTGCCTGTGAAGGTGTTTTGATCTATTTGATCTATTTTGATCTATTGATCTATTTGTGCTAGAAGCGATTAGCACGCCTAGAAAAACATCAGCTCTTCACCAGCTTTCCGGCAAGGAAACACATGAGGTCCACTGCCTGACTTGAGTACCAGCATGGGCCGCGTGAGGGCCAAGGTCACTCAAACCACTGCCGCTGCATACCTGGCTCGACAGAGGCGGCTGTACGTTTAACTTGCCGTTCTTCGGAATGTCAATTCTGTACCCGAGGGGAAGGAAGGCGTTGAATCCGACAATGAGGTCAGGGTGTTCCTGGAAGAGCTGTGAGACGCGGCGGATGACTCCAGGAGTATCGATGCTGGAACAAAGAACAGCAGTGGGCAAAAGTGTCTTGCGGAGCAAATTACAAGCGAAATCTACTCCCGACTCCTTTGACAGTGCCACGTAACCACCTTCTGGACTGGGCACGACGCACCCTAAAACGTGACTGGTAGGATTCTGTGGGCAGTGATCTAACATGAGAGCAGCCAGGCCTGGGCTCCCTGTGCCCTCCTGGCGAGAACCACAGAATATCTACACCACACAGCTTCCCCAAACACTCCAAGCACATGAGCTTGGTTCTGAAAATGTCAGGAGTGCAACTGCCAGTCCTGGACTCCAAGAAGTGGCAGGAGGCCAAAGCCTTCTAAGTGATGTGATAAATTCCTTCATTTCGTACGAATTAGGGATCAACAATGACACAGGAGTAGATCCCAACAACTGAACGCAACACATAAATACCAAACAGCCTGCAAGCGTGGAGTCTGCTAAGAATGCGAGGGGAGAGAGGGGTCGCCTTCATGGCTGCAGTCAAGACCCAAGGCCTTAGCATCCCACTTGCGGAAGGAACCCTAGCCACCCCTGCCACATTTCCTCAGAGAGGGCAGCAGCATGGTGAGGACATGACAGTCGAGAAGCTGAGAGCCAGAGGACCCAAGTTCCAGTGCCACCTCTGCCCCTAAGGAGGGTCAGGGCAAGCCCCTGGCCCACTCTAAGCCTCAGTGAGCCTTCTGTCAAACAAGGGGGTGATCATGAGGTCCCCCGTCTATCTCTAAACCTCCCGATTCTTCACCTACAAAACACAGCTAATGTACTTTTGATCCTTTCTACGTGCCAGGTCTCTTACCCGGCGTTTTATGCACATTATTTCCAGCAGGCCTGATACTAGGGTGAGGCAAGGGAGGCACTCATCTTGGGGATAAGATTTAAGGGGGAGAGGGAGCCAAAACATTCAATAATCAAGATGAATGACATTTTAATGCAGTGCGTGGAAAAAAATCAAAATTAATTTTAAAAATTCTCGATGAACAAAATTCATTTAAAAATCAACATTTTGAGTTACAGATGGGATCCGACCCTGTGCTTGCTGGACCCGCCTCCGTCGCCTCTCCCCGACCCCTGCCCTTCTTCCAGGAAGCCCCACAGCAGCTCCACGAGGGAGGGAGGGGCCTCTCCAATCTCCTTTTCTAAAAGGAACGGAGGCTCCGAGAGGTTCGACGACCTGCGCAAGGTCACCGGGCTGGGGGGAGCGGGGCTGGGGGCTCCCAGCCGGCTCGATCCGACTGCGGCCCAGGGCGGCCCCCCAGGCAGGGAGGGGCCCGCCGGTACCTCTGGCTTTTGAACTCCTTCATGATCTCCAGGAAGCCGTTGTAAGTGGCAGGGTCGCTGCCGAAGCGGATCTTCACCTGGTCCAGGTAGGTGAGGGCGTCCTCAACCTGCGGGGAGAGGGAGGGTCCCAGTGGGTCCCGGTCGGCGGAGGAAGGGACGAGGGTCCCTGGGGGGGAGGGGGTCAGGCCGGGCCTCCGAAGGCCCGAGGTGAGGGGTCCGGGGGTCCGGGGTCCTGGGCTGCCCAGAGGGGAGGCCGAGGCGGGGCCGGGCGGGGCCCGGGTGAGGAGCGCCGGCCTGGGGGGGCCGGACAACGGGATCCCCCCCCGGGAGGGCAGGGGCGCCACTCACGTGCACCGGCAGCTTCTCGTGGCCCGCGGAGCCCGAGCGACCCCAGCGGGCGCCGCTCAGCCCCCGGCCCGCGGGGCCACCGCCGCCGCCACCAGTGTGCGCCATGTTGGAAGTCGGAGCCGCGGCTCGCTCCGCGCCCCCCCCCCAGGGCCGGCTGCGCATGCGCAGGCTCTGCCCCGGAGGCGGGGCTTGATGACTTTAAGGAGGGGCGGGGCTCCTGAGGACTTCGCTGTGGGATCTTGCCCCTAAAACCGAAATACTGATTAATGCGGTATACAGTTTATACAGCACGGTTGGGCAAAGCAAGACCTGCTGCCTGCATTTGTCCGGCCCCGCAAGCAAGCTTAGAATGGTTTTTACTTTTTTTTTTAAGTTGGAAAAAATCCAGAAGACATTATTTCGTGACACTTGGAAGTTCTATGACATTCAAATTTCAGTGTCTGTATAATATAGTTTTATTGGCACAAGGCACGCCCACTCGTTTACGTGCTATCATCTCTGGCTGCTTTTGCGCTACAACAGCAGGGTGAAGAGCTGTGACAAATCCTAAGATCTGCAGAGCCTGATATATTTACTAAAAAACGTTTGTGGACTTTTTTATGCAGTGCGTGGAAAAACCCTGTGCTTTATAGGGTTGATGTGACAATGGGGTATGAGCACACAGCACCCTAACACAGGGTCCTGCGCGGTGAAGTTTTGCTGAATGGCTCTTGACTTAGTCTGGCTCCTCCTATCTTCACTTCCCTAGTCCTGACCCCATCGCTTCCCCACTAGACCAGTTCAGGAGCCTCTTCACCAGTTTTCCCAGCCCCAGTGCTATCAAGAACTGAGATCGTTCCACAACTGCTTCCAAACCTCCAAGGTCTTCCTTTTTCTTGTGAGAGAAATCTAAGCACCTACACACAGCACTGAAGGCCATAAGAACCTGACCCTTGTGAATTTTTTCTTGCAGAATTTCCCACCCAAGCAAGCTGCCCTCCCTATCTGTGCAGAACCTCCTGCCAATGCCTGCCCAGCCTGGCTGCTCCCTGGCCCCATGCATCAGCACATACCATTTCCTTTGCCCTCTTCTATCTCTTCATCACCCAGAAAATACCTAAACATCCTTCAAAACACAACCCAAATGTCCCCACCTTCAGGAAGCTACCCCAGCCCCCCTTTGCCCTCCCACAGTTCCTTGTACATCACCTGCATTTTGTGCTTCATCTCTAACACAAATTCCTGATACAGAGCCACATCAGTGAGCATTTATTAAAGGAATGAACATTCAATCAATGACAAAATGGCATCTCTTTTTGTATGTGAAGAGGTGCAGGAAAGCTGAGTGTACACTGGCAATGAGTGCATCATCTGCCAGGCGCTGTGCTGGGCTGTCAGGAATAGAATGGCAACCAAAACTGACAAGGCTTTTGCCCTCATAGAGTTTTCAGTGTTTCAAGAAGGAGAAGAATCAAATAATCACACACACAAATGTAAAGTTTCAACTGTAACAGACACTTCAAAGAGAAAGTACAAGTATAACAGTTACCACGTTCCAGTTACTATGGCTGTATAACAAACCACCCCAGATTTAGAGCCTTAGAATGACAACAACGTTCATTTTGCACTCCAATCTGCAATTTGGGCGGGGTTGGCAGGAATAGTTCATCACTGGCCCCTTGGTGTCAGCTGGGTGGCTGGGACTGGAGCCTTCTGAAGGTTTATTCACTCCATCTTTCTGTCAGTTGCTGCTGGCTGTAGGCTGAGACCCATGCTGGTGCTGTTGCCAGGAACACCTACATGTGGCCTCCTCACGCAGCCCCAGCGTCCTCAAAACGTGGCAGCTGGGTTCCAAGAACAGTCATCTGCGAGGAGGGAGTGAGCCAGGTGGAAGCCACGTTGCCTTTTCTGATCCAGCCTCGGAAGTCACGCAGAATCATCTCCATTGCAATCTTTGCATAATGACCATTACAAAGTCCCTCCCAAATTCAAGAGGAGGGCAAACAGACTCTAGAACCTGGGGAGTGGCCAGGTTCTGGAATAGTATGGGAGACAAGAAATATTGCCATGACCATTTTTGGAAAATAGCACCTGCCACCCGGGGGACTTGAGCCAGTCTAGCAGGGGATGAGGAAGCCTTCCCAGAGGAGGTGGCATTCTAAGTGAGATCTAAAGGATGCATATGCATTCACCATGAGAAAAGTCAGAGAGAACAGCTGTGCAGAGGCCCTCAGGTGGGAGGGAGTTTGGCACATGTGAATAACTTAAAAAAAAAAAAAAAAAAAAGACCAGTGTTCTCAGACTGCAGAGGAATGGGAGGGGGAGAGAGAGGGTGCAGGATAAGCGTGGAGGGGCCAGCGAGGGTAGTCCACTCATCCTTCTGGGACGAGTGAAGGCTTTTGGTCTTGGCATTTAGCGCTGGTAGAAACCGCATGGGTTTAATGCAAGGAGCTGTGAGAGCAGCTTTGAATGTAGAAGCGAATGCTCCAGCTGCTCTGCAGGGAAGTGATGGGAGGGGCGCCAGGGAGGGTGCAGGAAGGCTGTTTCATCCTTTAGGCAAAGGATGCTGGTGGCTTAGACCGGGAAGGGAGCAGTGGAGGTGGAGAGGAGGGGATGGAAGAGAGAGATATTTAGAAGGTAAAGCAGAAATGATGTGGTGCTGGGTGAATGTGCGGGGTGAGGGGAAGGAAGCATCCATGATACTGGCTCCCAGCCCAGGGAGGAATCCTCCCTAGTTTCAGCGCATTCCCATATGAACAGCAGCTAAGGTGGCCCAAACCCTTTGAGGCCACCAGATGTCTGGACAGTCCTTTTCACACTAACTCTGCCTGGCAACCTATCAGTCATTGTCCTGGAGGACCAAAGGCCTGTGTGGGCATCTGACATGCCAACAGGGTCCTCACAACAGTGCCCCCCTTCCCCAAGGAGTGGATTCTGTTCAAATTTCAAGGACCACTGTCAGTTTTTCATACTTTCCATAGATCTCATATGGTCAGAGGAAGCCCTCAGTCATTCGGAGAACAGGAAACCACAAGCCAGTTCCCTGTGGGCACGTGTGTATGCACGTGTGTGTGTGAGTGTGTGTTTAACATGTGGACAATGGTACACATACATTTTTCATTCTTATTTTTATAAAGCATAAAAAGTTGCTAAGTTGAATTTTTTCCTTTACTATTCTCATCTACACAGATTAAATTGAACACCTTAGAGTTGACAGTTTGGATAGACCAAACTGGAACACAAATTTCCTTACCATTTCACAGATTTAATGGCATTAAGATAAGACTCGCAAGTAGGTCTTTCGTTGGACGGTATTTTAGCAAGGTTGAGAGGACAAGATCAAAAGATCCTATTTTGAACTAATCTAAGTCTTCTCAGGTGGTAAGCTTTATGACAAAAATCTCTAAAGCCCAGAATCACGTGTTGTGGCAGAATTCTAAGATGGGCCCAGAGAGTCCCACCCCTGGTGTGCATGCCCCATCTGATCCCCGACTCTGGACTGAGATTAGGGCGTGCCACATGGCAAAGGTGAAGGGATTTTGCTCACCAAGTGCACAGCAACCGTCTAGGTTACTTGCTGGCCACTGTGGGCATTTGAGTGTGCCCCCCGTAGAACAGAGGGTCACGCTTCTGAGACTAAAATTGGAGTGAGGTGGTCCAACAAGGATTGGGACAAGAAGGCTCGAGGTTCTCACTTCTCAGAACTCTTGAACCTTGGGGCTTGTGACCGTGAACAAATAATAGCTACCTCTGCAAGGCTCAGTTTCCTCATCTGTAAGATGGAGCAGAAGCTCCTGCCCTCCCTGAAGTATGGGCTGTGATAAGGATCAGACCACAGTACCTGGTGTGTTATAAAATGTAAAGCTCTGTGGTCCACATCTGTGGTTTGGTTGGTCTCATATCCATCCATCCCTTCACCTGGTGCCAACATGCCAGCTTCCCTCCCACGAATAGCCTCTCCTGTTCCCAGTCCACATAGCCCAGTGGTACTGACTTCATCCTCAGCCCTGGTGGGCACTGGGTCAGGCCAGCCAATCAGAGCACTGCATTCTCCCAGAGAGAGAGAGTGGTTCTGGGATGGGTGTATGAGCCAACTGGGGCCAAGAGACTCCGGGCCAGGACTTGGGTTCAGACTGTTGGGAAAGGGAAGCTCTCTTTTCTACTGAACTTGGAGGTGGAGCATATTGGCCACCATGTCGCTACCCTGGGGTTGGCAGGTCTGTGAATGGAGCCCACGAGGAGGAGAAAGGAATAGAAAGATGGTGAGAAGCGAGGTCTGGGTCACATAACCTGAGGCCTTGGGTCCAGATACACATCAGCATGTACAGTGTCTTGCTTCAGCCAGATTGAATGGGGTAACTCCCCGGAGCCCCTGCCCCATGGGGGATTTCTACACTATCAGGCAGACTTGTGAGCGTTTGTTTGATTTGGATTCATTTCCCGGGGCTCTGCCTGGTCCCGAGTCCTGGAGTGCTCCTGCAGCAGCCGCCAGCTCTTCTCTCTGCCTGGATCTGGCCACCCACACTGCCTTCTTGACGTTCTTGGGAGGGTCCTGCTGCGAGGCTCTTGCCGAAGGGCACTGGAATCGCTCACGGATAAGATAGCCATGCCTGGTGGGGGCAATGAAGCCATTGGGAGTTGGGATGATTCTGTTTACCACAGCGTGGACAAACTGGGCAGCCAGCAGAGTGCCTGTCGGGTGGAGGGCAGGGCACAAATGAGGAGACGGGCCACAGAGATCCAATCTCACACATTCAAGAGTTGGCTGCACAGAGTAAAATCCCTGTCATGCCCCTTACTAGCTTAGTACATCCAACCTTTCGGAGTCCCTCTTGCTTCATCCGCAATATGAGAATGCTAACTGAACCTACCTGTCGAGGGGAATTCTGAAGATTTGAAGATGTCATGCGTGTCAGGTTCTTAGTATTGGTTTCAGCCCAGAGTGAACTCAGGAAATATTATTATTATTGGAGGAGAAATAGGAGGAGAGGTTGTGAACCTGCCCAGGAGGGGCTTTTTTTTTTTTTTTTTGGTGAGGAAGATTGGCCCTGAGCTAACATCTGTCGTCAATCCTCCTCTTTTTGCTTGAGGAAGATTGTCCCTGAGCTAACATCTGTGCCCATCTCCCTCTGTTTTGTA